GATCGAGAGGGGGCTACTTCAAGTCAAACATCTTTGGGACACAGACAACAATCAACGGATTACTGATCAGGAACTCAGACGAAAACTGCCTTGAATACGAAATGTCATGCGCCATTGTGAAGAACTACTAGCGGCCATCCCAGATTCCTGGGTCAATCTACTGAAAGCGGACACAGAGCATAGTGCAAACTCGTGGGTATTTGCAGACAATGGATCAGGGAGAGCATGGAAGATTCTAGGCCCAGACCTGACATCCGGAATAACGGTAGAAGAATGGAGTTTACCGCTGTTAACAGACAACCAAGAATCTGGCAAAACACTTCCCAGAAGACTGGGAGAGATGACAGTCTCGTCCACACAGGAAGTAAGGACAACAAGTAGAAGGGACGGCAAAAAAGTTACCTTCTTGGGGGCAGCCTCCAGTTTTCGAATCGAACCGATGGCCTGTACATGGAAGACGGCGGACCAGGTAGGCCAAGGCCAGGATCCCATCCCTCTGATAACATACAAGCCAAGGACTGGAATGAGGATACTGAGGAATTCAGTATCCATAACTCCGGAGTCAAAATCAGCAAGAAGACTGGAAAAGGTTAAGAACAGTCGACGAGCAGGGCAACCGGACTGGAGAGCCCTTTGGAAGGGTCTAATGTGGTTCCCGTCACAAAAAGATGCAAGTTTACTCTGGCTTCAGTCCTTTTTGGTTGTGGCTACTTCACTGGGGCTGAGTCAAAAAGGGATGGAACTCAGCGTAACATGCGTCAGATGTGATTGGGGCTGGGAAAGTAATGCTCAGTTATGGTTGTTCTGCCCGTTATCTGATAAGCTATGGATGTGGTGGATAGAAAGATGGAAAATGGTGACAGACTCCGTATGGACCTGGTCTGATAATTGGATATTATACGGGACCTTGCCAGTTCAGAATGGAGGCTACCGCAGACGATGGCGTTACGTGGCACTACCGTCTTCCCCTGAACACAACGCACCCCCATTTTGCCTGTATCGGGCCGGAAACATACCTTGTATACGTTCATTTTCAGGGTGCGTTACGTTCTGGGGAAGACGGTCTGCAGAGGGATTATACTCCAAGAAATCTGGAGATCAAGAAACTCTTTAATTTTCAAGAGGAAAAGGATTGGAATTCAAGAGCAACAACAACAGATCAAGTGAAATATTCGCCGAACCATAATTGCAGACTGGCCCCCTGGCCCAGAAGCAAGAAAAAAGGAAGAAACTGGTTCATGCATACCTGGGCGGAGACCAGTAATTTAGTCTCAATAGTCTTATTCTTTATTGTGGTTTATCTTCATATTTTCCGTGGTCTTTATTATGGGAGCTATGCCAGTCCGCGAGAATAAGTGTGGTGTCTTGGAGTGGTCATTTTATTATTAATGATTGTAACAGCTTTTATTGACCAAATCAAATATTTTTTTTTTGTTTTGTTTTTTAAAATAAAACAGATCAAAGATTAGCGTTTGCCAAATGGCTGAAACCGCCGTGAGGTTTCGTAGCCAGAGAGGCTCAGGCTCGGATGGCCAAGAATATTAGGTGAACAAGACGCCTGCTTTAAAGGTATAGATATAGATAAGGAGTCACGTTAGACTCAGGATGGATAGGCCAAGGCAGGTTTGCTGGAACTACAAGTCTATTTTCGATCTGCTCAAGTTGTGAGGTATGTAGATTAAATTTGAGACTAGGAGTTTCAAGACTAGTATCTTATCTTGGTACAAGCATGCCAATACTTTGGCTGCAAATGCAGTCCCTTTTTATCAGCGCTTCAAGGCTTAATTTTGGAAAGACTTAGCATGGGACGTTGGACCCCATTTCCAGCAGTAGTTTTGATGAATCTGGAACAGTTGGATAAGGGTATACACTGGTGAGGGTGTGTGTTAAAAAAGAAAAAAAAAAAAAAAAAAAAAAAAAAGGGTATGCTCTTACCATAGGATAACTTAGGCAGAGGCGAGGGGTGGTACATCCTTCCCTAAAGAAGCAATCAATGGTACATCCTTTCCTAAAGAAGCAATCAATGCTGTCCACTCGGGCCTCTCAGCCATAATGGGGAGGCCTGGAGCGTGTGTATGTTTCAATGTATTTATTATTGACTTGCCGGGGGAATAGGAACCGGACTGTTGCTCCCCAGAATGGCAGGGGGCCAGAACAGAGAGGTGCTGAAAAAAAAAAAAAAAAAAAAAAAAAAAAATCTGGAACAGTTGGTAGGTCTGCGAGATTGGGTCGTAAGCGAAACTGGCTGATGCTGCCAGGGGAGTGGTCCCACTAGCAAAGAGGATCGGATAGAAATCCTGAATCTGGCCATGTTGTATGCAGAGATACAGAAAAGCTGTTTGATCTCGATTTCCTGCTCCTGTCCTCGAACACGTCCAGATTCAGGCATTCAATCCGATGCTCTCTTGCTAATGGGACCATGGCCCAGGATAGCTCCGGGTTGAATTGTGAGGTCCCCGGCCTCGTCCCATTGTTTTCCATGCAATGAATTTTGAAGCTTTCCAAAAGAAAAAAGAAAAAGAAAAAAAAAGTTCTTTTTTTGTTTTTTTGTTTTTTAAATGGAACAGTTTCTTTTTATTAAACTGGAAAACGGGTCCGGCTTCCCTCACATAGACACTGTAGCCACCTGCGGCTGAGAAAGGCACTTCCGGCCAACTCATCCCCAACTACAGTAGACCAGCTACGGAGACCCCACCCGTCCCAGTTCTACCAATTCCTGGCTGGCCACAAAAGAAGCAACTACATTCCTAACAATCGTAATCTTCATATGTCCTACATTATACACACAAACAGTATCCAATTATTCATGTCATAGTCCTATTCTACCATCCCAAGGCTTAGCTATCATTATAAAATCCCAATGCACAGTCCTACCAATCCCAACTCACCCACAACCTCGCATTCATTCCTACAATTCCTTCGCACATTATACGCAATTGATCTGAACGCGTGTAGATCTATATGATGGTAATCCGAAAATCTATCCCAAAAAGAAATCAGAAAAGCTCAAAGTGGGAGGAGTCCCCACAGCCTGGGCTATCACACACAGCCCATCAAAAGCTCCCCATCTGGTTGGAAACCATTTGACCGCTTTAAACCACCAGTACTTGGGCGACGCCTTAGTGTTAACGCTATGCGATTTCCACGGCTGGCGGGCCGTCGATAAATCGAATCGACAGCCCGCGCTGCTTCGAGATTTGGGCGGCCGGCGCAGCGCACAGTGCCCAAGTACCGGTGGTTTAACCGTACACACTTTCTTCTGAACACGGAATTCCCAGTCAGCCGAGATCACCAATTTAAACCACCAGTACTTGGGCGACGCCTTAGCGTTAACGCTACGCGATTTCCGCGGCTGGCGGGCCGTCGATAAATCGAATCGACAGCCCGCGCTGCTTTGAGATTTGGGCGGCCGGCGTGGCGCGCAGTGCCCAAGTACTGGTAGTTTAATATTATATTTAACCTCCGCTCTGATCATAGGGGGAGTAAGACATACCCCCCTACTCCCCCCTGCGAACAGCCGAGTTTCGCAAGTTCCTAAGGGTCGTAAGAATGGCACCACGGAGTGTTTCTTCTGCATGTGAACGGGAGGGCAAGAGTGGCTGAAACAAGCAGACTTTGGGAAATTTTGGACCAAAAAGGGGGGGGGGGAAAGAAGAAAGTTTTGGACATTTTTTGAAGTGAATGGGACGCTGGACCCTTTTCCAGCATTACCTTCTTCCCCCGAATACAACGTAGGGTCATTATAGCTGTATCTAGACTGAAAGACGCCTCAAATACAGCTATAATGACAGTACGTTCTATTCAGGGGAAGACCGTAGCTGGAACTGGGTAATGGGCCCAGCGGTACCAGGTTCAATTGTGAGGACCCTGGGGCAAGGGCCCAAATGCACAGATCAAGAGAGAAACTGGGGGTAGATAACGAAGATCGACGGCCTATATTTGTTTATCGATGCTATGGTAGTGGGACCACCTGCCCCCCGGGACCAAGTCCCACTAGCAGCGTTGAGCTACCTCAACACCTGGACGTGTTCACCATTTCTGCACATCTCCGCAAAAACGTCCAGATTCAGGCGTTGAGGTAGCTCAACGCTGCTAGTGGGACTTCCTGGCCCCCGGCCTCAATCCAAACCATGGGCCTCGCTGCGCTCTTCTCCAAATGTGCATAACGAGAATGAATCTTCCCCAAGAACGTGGAACTATACACTGCCATATTTTTTGTCGATTGTGGATGTGGAGAGTACTGCAGCGAGGCCCAATTACGTCCAAGGGAGTAAAAACAAACCGAATATCCTTCCGTTTTCGGTTTCCTTTTTTTTTTTCCTGATCAATGCACGTTCATGCACCTTCATGCAAAGACCGAAATTACGTCCTCGTGCATGCATCTGAGGGCAATTACGGCCACAAATGAGTCTTAAAGTCGACGTTGTGTCAGAGCAGCGTGTTTGCCATGCAAAAAAAAAAAAAAAAAAAAAAAAAAGCAGAAAAAGAAGAGTTCGTGTCTGTTCAGTGCTTTCTTTTTTTCTTTTTTCTTCATGCCCAAAAATTAAAAAAAAATAAAAATAAAAAAATTGGGGGAAAAACAAAAGCACAAAACCTTGCTTTGCACTCCTTACCTTGCCATGCTGCCTTCTTGCTGATCTACAGTCAGAGGGCATACTCACACTAGCTCCACCTTAAATGTATCTGACCGCATTTACGTCCATATCGGATGTACATGACCGCATTTACGGCCGTACGGGATGTACATGACCGCAATTACATCCATAATAAAAAACAAAAAAAAAACAAAAAAAAAACTACTGTAAGTATTCACTGAGAGAGGCATTCGCGGACTTCCTGAACTCAGCTTTGGACGTGATAGCGGTCAGATGCACTCAGTTCTTGACAGTGCTGTAAGACGCAGGTTCTCGAATAGAACGCACGGTCAATATTGCTGTATATAGACTGAAAATTGGACCGAGTACAGCTGTCATAAGCACGGGGGCCAAGTCCCACTAGCGGCGTTGAGCTACCTCAACGCCTGAATCTGGAGGCTTTTGCGGTGATGTGCAGAAATGGTGTTGAGTTTCCTGAACTGCACGTCTTCACAAACACGTCCAGATTCAGGCGTTGAGGTAGCTCAACGCCGCTAGTGGGACTTGGCCCCGGGGTTTCTCTTCCGTCGAAGACGATAAGCCCTGAATCTAGGCCATATATTCATTATAATTATTTATATTATAATATACATTTTTTCAATAGTGTACGGGTACCTATACAATGCTATGCACTATATATCGTGACACAAGTGGGTGACAAAGAATATAGGTCATCGTCCACTCACTCACTCTTCATTATCTTCCATCCATTCTACCGGACGCCCGCTCATCTCCTCTGCGGCTTGCATACTGGTGAGTCTCTCTCTCTCTCTCTCTCTCTCTCTCTCTCTCTCTCTCTCTCTCTCTCTGTTTGTGCGTGTGTGTGTGTCTGTCTCTCTCTCTCTCTGTCTCTCTCTCTCTCTCTCTCTCTCTCTCTCTCTCTCTCTCTCTCTCTCTCTCTCTCTCTCTCTCTCTCTCTCT